GGGTCTTTTGTGGTTCCATACAAATTTTAGGATAGTTTGTCTTTATAAAAGCCTACAAATCTCTCTGAAAATGAGGCCCAGCCAATACAATTATGCATGAAATAAAGACTTGAGACCATGAAATGGTTAATTTAAGTACTGTCAGCTACAAACTTACCTGAAAAATAAGGAAGATTATCAATCACTTCATTCTTAAAGTATATCAGGCAGCGACTGTGCTATTTTCTTAACATGTATCTTTAAAATGCCTACAATAGTCCCACAAAGTAGGCATTATCACTTGATAGATGAGAAAAAAATTGAGGCATAGATAAGTATGCATATGCACAAGGTCACACAACAACAGAAATGAAACGTTAACCCAAGGACATCTGGCTGCAAAGTTGAAGCTCTCCCACAGTTCATAGGGAGAGTCTATGATTCCAAATTGATAACCTCCATTCCAGGTCACATTAAGAAACTCATTTGGCCTCTATCCTTCAAGAGACAGTGACACTGAAGAAGTATCTAATCCAGTGACATCTGGATGGGAGAATGGAGAGGTGAAATTTGGGGGAAAAGCACATTCAGAAATAAAATAATCAAATAAATTGGGTAATAAGGATGCCAGGATCAGTAAAACCCCCGCCACAGTCTTACAGAAAGAAGATAGCAAACAGTGGTTGGTATTCATTCTTAAATATATCCCACAGATCCTTTACTGGCAAACTCATCTTCAGCAAAATGATACAAGCCAGTTACATTTTCAAGAGTTTTCAAGAGGCTAAACATTTCCTAGCTATATTAGTCAGGATGATTAAATTATGCTGCAGGAAGAAATTAACCCTAAAAATCTCACTAACACTATAAGAGCAATGATGCAGTTTTATTTCTAATTATGCAGAATTTGCTGCAGCTCCAAAGTTCTTCAAGGCAACTCTCTTCCATGAGATAGACCAGGCTCTAATCTACTTCTCCAATATGGCTTCCAGTTACCAGAACAAAGGAGGAGAAAGCCACAAGGTCAAGTGTTCTCCCTTAAATGCTTCAATCCACAAGTAACATAATCCAGTTTTCAGAACTAGTCACATGACCTCACTTGGCACATGGAGAAATTTGGGGAGTACATGGATATTTGAGAAGTTCTAAATATCTCTGCCAAATTACTTTTCAAGGAGAGGAAAGTCCATCCCCAGTCATAATGAGAATGGATATTTTTCCCCTTCAAAAGACACTCTGCTCCCCTCCATCCTACTCTGCATCCTGGAAAGCTGAATCATACACACTGCACCAAATGGTCACCTGCTTTTTGACTTCCTCTTGTGTTTGGTCAATAGAGAGTGCTTTGAGGTCAAGATAATGATTCCTTTTTATTCCTGTGGCATCACTGGGAGTGAGGCTGAGATTCCACCATTCTCCACTTTAACTCTCTCTTTCTGAGTTCCAGAAACCACTGCTACCTCATCCCTATGGGGAAGTCAACAATCTACTCTTACAAAGTTGAAAGTATTACACCATTTCTTGTGCTTTCCACACAGCCTTCCTCTCTAGTATACTCTAATTGCTCAATTTAAGTGCTCTTTCTGTTTCCTGCTGAGATCCTGACTGATACAAGGGAAATCTGAAAAGGATTATAATTTTAACTATTGAGAAGAGCCTTTATTATACTTACCATAGAATTAGAAATGTGCCAATCTTTAATAGAATCTACTGTAACCTCATAAATTGGTGTTCTTTCTCCATTTCCATCCATTCTCAACATCATCAGAAAAGTTGCTTATTTTTTTCTGATTACCTGTGTCTTTATAAGCTTCTAGTGGTTCCCCATTACCATAGAAATGCATCAAAATCTTTAGCACACATGTCAATACCCTCCATGAATCAGTCAATTTTCAGCTCACTCTGGGTACATTATACTCAATTTTCTAGACCAAAAGTTGGCAAACTACAGCCCATGGACCAAACCAGACACTTTTGTAAATACAGTTCTATTGAAACAAGCCATGCTTGATCATTAACATATTGTCTATGGCTGCTTTCACAGCACAATAGCAGAGTTAAATAGTTGAGACAGAGATTATTTGGCCTACAAGCCTAAATATTTACCATCTCGCCCTTTGTAGGCAAAGTTTACTTACACTTTCTCCATACCCTCAATATCAGCATAAACATTCACAGATGCTCTTCCTTAGCCCACAGTGAAAAATGTCTCTGGCAACAATATCACTTACAAACATCAGGCTCAGGTGTTGTCTTTGATCTCCGCTCTTCCATCAAGTTTCCCAATGGTTTCAGCTAGATTACCTCAGTAGCTTATTTGACCCTCTATTAACGATTTACTCTGTGTATTAGTCAGAGTTCCCCAGAGAAACAGAACGAGTAGGATCTGGGTGAATATGTAAATAAGAAGATATTTATTTGTGGAGACCAAAATGATGGTTGCCAGAGGGGAAGCGGGTGGAGAGATGGGTAAAATAGGTGACAGGGATTAGGAGGACCCCTACAGGGGTGGCTCAGTTGGTTAAGCGTCTGACTTTGGCTCAGACCATGATCTCACAGTTTGTGGGTTTGAGCCCCACATCGGGCTCTGTGCTACAGCTCAGAGGGCATACTCATGACAGTTACAGTCCTTGTTTCTGTAACTAGTCTCCTGCTTGCCTTTGGTATTTGTAACTATCTTCCACCACCTAATCTGTATTTCCTTTGCCTTTAGCGAGCACCTCAGCTCGTTGTGGTTCCTTATCTGGCAGAGTGGCCCAGACATTCATTCCTGAAGAGTCTTGGCCGTTAGTAATCCTGCCAGGATTAAGTTGTTGTACTTTTCCATTGGCCCTAATTACAGAGCATGGCAAAACCTAGGAAATCTCTCGCATTCCAGACGTACTTCTTCTTATCCCCACTGTTGAGTAGTAAGCCAGTTTTCCCTTGGTAGTTAGGATCAGTCACCACTGCCAACACAGTGACTCCCTTCTTTGCCTGTTGATTCAGAGGCCTGAGAAGCCCCCAAAATGGATGGGCAGCAGTCTTAACCTCCAGTTCCCTGGAATCATTGTTATATCTCCTGATGGAAGCAATCCTCCTTCTGGAGCTAAGACCTCTAGGCCAATAAGGCATAAAGTCATAAGAACAGGAAACCAAAGTTTGGCTAGTAGATCACTAGTGGTAATAGTGAATGGTACCCCATCCATTTCCACTCCTCAGTTCCTGGACCAGTGAATCCTGGCTTTCTCAGAGAAGTAACACATACTGGATACTGCTTCAAAGCACACCAGGTTATACCTTCTAATGGAATGGGCTGTTTTCATGTCTGTTTCTTCTCATTAAATTTGAAAGAAACTTGAAGATAAGAATTGCATTTTCAGTATCTTTATATCTTCTGTGATACTTACATACTGCCTGAAACACTTTATGTGTTGGTTCCTGCATTCTGAGTGAATGGATGCCAACAACAGGCAGAAGTATCAATGGCTCCTGTAATCAAGAGACAACATGGGGAAGGGAAAGGGAATTGGTGGAAGTCGTCAAAAGGTACAAATTGATAGTTATAGCATAAATGAGTACTAGAGATATAATGTACAACAAGATGATGATAGCTAACGGTGCTAGGGAATATGTAGAAGTGTAAAAGGAGTAGATCCTAAGAGTTCTTAACACAGGAAACTCAATTTTCTTTTAATTTTATGAAAAGATTACCTATTGTGGTAATCATTTCACTATATATGTAAGTCACACTGTCATGCTGTACACCTTAAACTTACATGATGATATATGTCACTTTTCAACAAAAAAAATAAAAGGTAACTTGATCATGGGGCATAAAGATGCATACAGAAATTGTCATCATTTGATCACTCAGGGAACTAAGGAAAGACAGAGATAAATATGGATACCAGTCTTCAATACATTAGGGTTGCCTGTGTGAACACTGATCAGCAGCTCTTCCCACCTGCATCAAGGAAAAGATAATGGAAATTTATATTTCCACAGGAGCAAAAACAATTTCATTAATGTTGCAAAATAACACCAAGGCACTGAGGGCTTGTGTGAGTTGGTATCAGTTAAGGAATAGTAGGTAATATTATGAGATGTCCCAGCATATTTACATACACCTCACATCATTTTCATTATCAGCCTTATTAATAACAAGCACAGTATTTTTTCTTCCACAAATATAGTTCACTGGGACTTTTGATGCTCTTTCATATCCATTTATTCCTTTAAATATCAGAACAATCTCATATTTGAAGTACGATCCTGTTTTAATGTTGGGAAACAGAAAAGCCAATGAAGATACACTCTGAACCATGTGTTGTCTGGCTCTCAGCTATGACAACAAAAAGTTCAAGCAATAAAAAATGGTCTGTGGGCATAATTAGCAACTTCTTGTCCATTCTATTTTTAAGTTATTTGTGGCAATGAACAGCATTCATTTTCTGAACAAAAAAAGTTTCTGGACCATTGAATACTGGGGAAAAAACTGCAGACACTTCTTCTCTTCAATCAATTCAGTTGAATCCAAAGAAATAAATGTTTCTGAGGGAAAACTGATACACACAATACAGAGGATGTAGATTATTAATAAAGTCATTTACCTGGTTCAGATGTGAATTCATTCCAAATGTCCTTATTTTTCCCATTGCAAATCATTTGTGAAGAATTGTTTATCTCCTCTCCCTTTCCCAATGACTACACCCAGGTTAAAAGAAATAAATACATGGCAGAAAGATGCAGCAGATTGTATAACAGGATAAAATTATGGGCTATTACCACAGGTTGTTTTCCATTGCTCTCTCTTGTACCCGTTACCATCTCCAATTTTCATTGTCTTCATTATGTTTCTGCCATTAGTAATAACTTTATATACTATCCTGTGGAGATAAGTTGATCCAGGTAAAATCTAAGACTCCCAAAGTCAAGACATTACACTTGAATATCTGCCCTTAAATCTTCTCTCCGTAATAAAAGTATTAAAAATCAAAGCTTTCAAATACATAAAAGAGCGTTTTTGAGAAGCAGGGGGAAAAACAGAAAAGAATGCAGTATGATCTAAAAACATTTTTCTCACTCAAAAGAAGATAAGAGTCTGACCACAGGTAGGAAGGGAAGAATCAGAGAAATGTGACTAGAATTTCAGTAACTGCAGTTCTCTAAAAATGACCCTTACTTTTTGCAACAACCCCCAGGTAGAGGATGAAGGGATCAGACTTCCCAGAAGAAACTCCAAATCTGTCTATTAGAGGTGATGCAGGGGCAATTCCAGAGCAGAAAGAATGACTGCCTAACTTTTCAGAGTTATAGCCCTAGTGAGCTGCAAGATGTAAAAAGAACCCCTTTATTGACACCTCAGCTACAAGGTAGCGATTATCAAGTGCATTAGTCAATGACAGCCTCATATATATGGCCGAAAGCTAAGCCTAACCCTTGTGAGCAGAGATGATGGTTGTCTAGAGAGCTCATGAAGTCCCCACCCCATTTGGAAAATTCCACCCATCCTTCCCTTTGCCCAACAGTTAGAGTCCCCGGCAATTAGCTAGTTCAAAGCCCTCTCTCTTCCTGGACACACTTTATCAGGGAATCCATGAAGAAGAAATGATCTTCAGCAGCAAGATCCAAAAACATGTGGGATGCATCTCAAGCTGTCAATCTTGCTAACTTATTAATAACAGAGAGGGATGGCTAAAAAACTGGATAAAAAGGTTATCAGCTCCTCTTCCCTCCCTAGCGTCTTTCTGATGGCCTTGATTGATGCCAGATTGCCTGGCAAGGAATAGAAGTGCTATTTTTAGTTGGCTCTGAGTCTGAAGGACTTTTATTTCTGCTTGTGAACCTTTATAAATATTTAAGAGAAAGAAAAAGCATGAATGGAAGAACATGTGGTCTCACGGATATCCATCAAAGCTGTCTGTAGAAATTACAGATATGTATGTGTGTGTAGCTGGAGAGCCGTCTGGAGGTACAGAACTGCATGTGTCTGAGTAAAAGAAAACTCCCAAAATCTTGGAGAGAACTTCAAAGTTAAAAGGAAATCAAGGCTAATAAGGTGCACACTCTGAACTCTATTCAGCTGCCTTCACCACCTTCAGCCTCTGTTTTCCAGTCGCAGACCAGGCATGCTTACCTTCTACCTCCTAAAAAAAGGAGAAAGGCTGGGTGTGAGAGGAGGTCAGAAAGTTGGGTTCAAGTTCTGGGTCTGTATTGTGCATTTGCATGGATGAGCGAAGTACTTAACCCAGCGGTCTCAGGATCCCCATATATAAAAGGAGGGTAGGGCTAACTTCCAAATCAAAATCTGTACTTGTAAAGCAGTCTTCTTCCTTCTTACGACCTTTATCTAAATTGTTTTCTTCACTCCAGAAAAATCTGAAATGTCCTGTCTTTTGTTTTCTGCTATCGCACATTAAAAAATCAATTCAACAGGCATTTCCTGAGTGTCTGCTACATGAAAAACCCAGTCCTGGCTCGTAGGAGAAAGGAAGCTCAGGGGAGGATCGTGTTCTCTGGCAGAAGGGTGTGTAAAGTTCTTTTTGGGTCCCTCAGGTACAACTTCAAAAAGCAGTGGTTCCCTTCAGGAAAGAAGAGTCTTCATATTCCTTTTTTCAGGGAAAGTGCTCCAGCGGATTCCAGTTTTAGTCAAGATTTTGCATACCCTGTCTGTCTCCACAAAACTCGTAATTACATGCCCTACAGGGCCAGAAAGTGGAAACACACACACACACACACACACATACACACACACACACCCCACACACACCACACATACACACACATCCAACGATTCCGTCAGTACTATTTGCTGAGCACCTACTAAGCCAAGCACTGAGATTATAGCATCAAAGAAGCAGGACCCACTAGACCCACTGCTGTGGAATTTACACCGCAGTTGGAAATACAGACATTAAAAACTAATTATAAACTTTGTAGGTAGGCACAGGGTGCCATGACCTGAATGCCCATACAAGACATTCTAACCATCTAGAGGCACCTGGGTGGCTCAGCCAGTTAAGCGTCCGACTTTGGCTCAGGTCATGATCTTGAAGTTCGGGAGTTTGAACTGCGATCAGCAGAGAGCCCATTTCAGATCCTCTGTCTCCCTCTCTCTCTGCCCCTCCCCCCTCTCTTTCTGTCTTTCTCAAAAATAAATAAACGTTTTTGATAAAGAGGTTCTAACCATCCACTACACAATGGACCCCTTTCTTGATCTTGGCACATCCTCAGAGGAGGTCACAGGCAATTCTTCAAAAGCATCTGAAACCAGCTCAGGAAATTCCCTCAGACTTGCCTTTCTCTCCCTACATCTGCAGCAAACCTCCTATTGTCCTGATGGCATAGCTCTGTGTCTGAGATTCCTTTTTACAACCATTCCGGGCTCAAGTATCCTGGCTCCAGGCTATTTAAACTGGCATTTCTTTAAGAAGTCAGTCTAGGCAGCCACTCCTCCACAGTTCGGGTGAATTTTGGCAGGACACTATACCCCGCCCCTGGGCCAGCCCCAGCTCTGTAACATCACCAGGCTTCCCTTCTGCCACTTGGCCTCCCAGCCCTTAGACACCTATAGAAAAAGGCACCATAGCAGCGAAAGACCTGTAGGTGGTGAAGTAGGGGGTGTGAGCTCAACTCTTGGGGTGGGTTGGGGGTTGGCTTTAACATCTGACTCTTAGACTCAGTACAAAACTCTGTTCGCGTGGGCATTAGGTCAGTAATTTTTGGTGAGTGCCAAGTTCTGGGAGGATGAACCAAAAGAAAGAGATGAGTATGTGAAACTCTCGGGGACTCCTTAGTACAGAATAAATGGAGACATCCTCTTATTTAGAATATTAAAGCAGTGACAGTTTGTCCCTTGTGTATCTTGCTGGCTCTCTTTCCTTTCTTTACTCACACATGAAAACCTCAATAAAACAGCGCTGCTTGAGCCCACTCAGCCCACCCTGCACTTGCACACCTCTGTGTTCTTCTCAAATAACTCCCACTCGCTTCTCATCCAGCTAATTCCAGCACTGCCACCCAAGTCGTGCAAATGTCACTTCCCTTGGGAATTCTTCCCCTACCACCACCTACCACAAAAAAGAGCTAATTTCCCAGCAACAGGTTTCCTACAGCACTTTACAGTTTTATTAGCATGAACTCATTCTTTCAACAGACATTTATTGGGCACCTACCACACTGCAGGTCCTGACATGGGTCTTTGGCAGAACCATTTTCTCCACTAGGCTGAACAGCTTTGGAACAGAAACTGTGTCCTTCGTCTTGGTGTCACGTATACATCTAGTACATATTAGCCACTCAATGTATGCCTGGTCAATTGATGTAAACTGTGAGTTTCTTCTTAAAGGAGTCAATGGACGTGAATTGGCAGAGAGGAGATCCGAGGTGATGTCTGGGGAATCAGACCCTGTGAACAAGACGGAATGAAATTTGATTAAATGGGTCTCTTGCAACATTGTAATTCCATTCCGGAGTGGAAGTCTCCACTTAAGGACAGCTAAGCTCTAGTATCTAAGCTTCCCTAAGGGATCCCAGGGAGGGATATGATCTATTCTACAGGCCATGTCCTCTTTCCCCTTTTGACTTCTGATTCTTAGCATTGCAGAAATATTACTCCCAGAAATAAACTGACCTTTTGAAAAGTAACCAAAATTATGCATTCCAGCTGAGGACAATGAACTTGATGTTTAAAAAATACGTTTCTGTGCCAACATAATGAACTTGTTGGCTGCTACCACATTCTCTCAGTTTTTAGATAAACATAAATGTGATTCCCAAACATTTGTTTTACTAAAAATGCTTTCTTCTCTTACTACCTTAGGCAAACGTTATTGAAAATCGAGTGGGGTGGTTAAACATTACCTCGTACCAAGTCAAGATTGTGGAATTCTTGTTTCAGTTCTGTGACCACCCTCCAATGACTTGTATCATCCAGATAGATTCGGATGTGAGTGCATGCAATAAAATTTTAATTCCATGATGATAAATGTGGGAGTGAAAATATAAAGCCTTGGTTTGAGTCAGATTGATTCATTCACCACTGATAATAATAGTAATAGATACTGGCATAGCACTTGAAAGTTTACCAAACTGTATTTATTGTTTTTTTTTAACAGGATCCTCCCAACAAACTAGGGAAATGTTTTAGTATTACTATCATTGTTTATATCTTAGGGCCACAGAAGCTAAAATTTGGAAATGTTACATGATTTTCCGAAGGGCAAATGTAAGACAAGGTTTGGAAACTTGCATGGTATGGCAGAAAGTATGGTGGCTCCAGCCAGGCAAAACTAGGCTTGATTCTTGGTTCCTCTACATACCAGCTTTGTGATCTTTAACCATAAAAGCCATTACAACAAATATTTATTTAATGCTCACCATGTGCCAGTCAACGTTCTAAGCACTTGGCTTGTCTTGTATTATTTAATTTTCACAAGATCTTGTAAAGTACATTCCATCATTGTCCCCAGCAACGGCTGACGAAACCGACACAAAAGGATAAGCAACTTGCCCAGAAATTTCTAACTGCTAACTGGGAATAAAACAGGACTTAAACCCAAGGAATCTGACCCCAGAGTCAGGCTTCCTAACCACTAGGAAATACTATTTCCCTGTGAAGTTAGTTTATCTTTCTTACCATCAATTTTCTCATCTATTAAAGAGAGACAGGGCGCCAGTGTGGCTCAGTGGGTTAAGCATCCAACTCTTGGTTTCAGTTCAGGTCATGGTGTCATGACTCGTGGGTTCATGCCCTGCATGTGGGCATCCTGACCACAAAGAGCCTACTTGGAATTCTCTCTCTCTCTCTCTCTCTCTCTCTCTCTCTCTTTCTCTGTCCCTCCTCGGATCTCTCTCTCTTTCAAAATAAATAAATAAACTTTAAAAATTAATATTAAAGAAAGGCAATGCTACCTATATTGCAAGATTGTTATAAAAATTAGAAATAATATCCATTAGGTACCTAATTTGAAATTCCTGGTACATAGAGAAATTTCACGAATTTTTCAGATTTTAATAACCCACATGATATTTTCTATGATGCCCTATGCAAAGATTTCTTACCTGAACCTATATATGGGTCCACAAATGAGCTACAGAGAAAGTGCATTCAAAGTTTTGTGTGTGTGTGTGTGTGTGTGTGCACGTTTTCTGAAGAAACTGTCCAAAGGTTTCATTAGCCTCTCAAAAATATCGATGACCCCAATAAACAGTACCACTTTGGATTATCTTGAAACAAGCCATACATTCTCTGCCTCTGTGTTTGTATATGGAAATTTACTTAAATGTTTTCTTCAGTCAACGTCAGCAGCAGAAATGCATTGGTCAATTTGACTTACTGTTATCCAACTTTTAAATACAGGTCATTTTAAAAATTCATTTATTTAGACAGGTATAATAGAGTTGGAGACATCTGCCTTCTGTATTCTACCCTGGCTCTATTTGGGGTTGGAGAAAAGTTCTCATAACTATGCATGAGTGCATGTGTTTCCATGGGTCCCCCAGGGCAAGTGATTTCTGTGAGGCAGGCTGAAGGCCTGGCCTCAATTGGCTGCCCTCCACTTATCTGAAAGCAGCGTACATGTTTATCCTGTTCCCTAATTAATCTCATCCCAGCCAACAGCACACTACCACAGGCAGCTTTATGCCTCACAGCATTTGGTGACCATGTGGAATGCTGGGGAATGCTTATGGCCCCTTGCCTTGTTTGTCACCATGACTCAGTGGGCTCCCAGACCAATGATGAGAAGTGGGTGTCAATGGGCACACTGGCCCTGTAGCCAAAAGAGCTTCATGGGAATGGGCAATACCAGGGAGTCCAGACACACTGTCAAACGACAGTGTGCTAACTTGTATGAGATTTACACCAAGTTCAAACCAGCCCAATCCTATTTTTAGTAGAGAAGTTGGTGGTGAGATCACAAAGGGCCTTACTTAATAAGTCACCCTAGTCTGAGAATGCATGAAGAAACAAATGCTATAAACGGTGTGAAGCTGTGACCTCCACCTCCTGTTCCACGCTGGCTTTCTCACCTTTTCTTGTCTTTTCTTTCTGCTTCTCCGTCACCACTTGTGCCCACTTCCTTCAGCTGGTTCTTTGAGAAACACAGCTGAGTTTCATGAGTTCAGTGAGTAGAACTAGATATTCCTGGACAAAATCAAGTTATGAAAGTTATGACATCTCCTTGAGTACCTAGTCCATGGTCTCTGAAAGATTGCAGAGAAATAGCGTAAGGTCTTCTCCAAACCATCTTGCTCTTGATGCTTCATTAGGGCTTTGCCATTTTCAATGTTTGATGCATTTTAACATGAAACTGTAATTGTTCAAATGTATGTAGCTTCATTTACCAGAGTTTCTGATGTTATTATAATTATCTATAAGGTATGCAAAGGATAATCAAAGGCAATAATAGTATAAGGCTTTAAAAGTTTTAGACCGTGATCCCTATTTTCTTATCTATGAACTAATGTATTAATTTTTAACGTGTGATGCCCCAAATTATGAAATATAGTTTAAAGTTCAATATTAACCAGAGGAGACAGTTAATAAGCAATGTTTGGTTCATTCTGAAGCTCTAGATGACACTTGGTGGAGGTGTGAATGAAAGTTCAAGTTAATGATGACCTCCTTTAAATTAAAACAAAACAAAACAAAACAAAAATCAAAAGACAAACCTCTCTTCAAATTTGCTTCCCACCTAAACTACCATTTTACCTCTCACCTTCCTTTCTCAGTCACATTTCTTGTTCTCCTCCCACACATTCCCCAAACCCTGTAACCTGGGTTCTTCTCTCAACACCTGGAGAAACTAGTTTTCTTACAAGAAATATAACAAAATACCATTTCTCATCTCAGACCTCCTTTTCTGCTCACTCTTTATTAACCCTCCACAGAGTTGCCTCCTCCCACTACCTTACAGATTTCACCTTACTTTCTGTCACCCATCCCACCACTATTTTCCCTGCCATTTATTTTGACATTTCTACTGGCCCATTTTTGTGGAAACTTTACCATCACATGTACCCATTATCCACTGTTTGAGCTTATTCCCTTTTCTGAGAGTACTTATTAAGTGTCCAGCAATGCCAAGGCTGCTTCTACCAACATGGTGCACGGAGACTCTTAAACCTTCCAGCTACAGAATGCCTAGAAACACCAGATAAATATATAATAAATCATTTAAATAAGGAGAAACTACCCAGGAGACGTAAAAATAGGAGGAAAACCAAAATCATATGCAGGATGTTAAATAATCCTGGGGCTGTCTTCTCAAGCAAAATCTGAACTCACATCTTCGATCACCTACTGCAGAGCCTCCTGTGATTATGGTATAAAAACCTCTAACTTAAGATAGACTAAAGAAAGAAAAGCAAAACGTCTTCTGAAATGTTTTCTCTTTCTGGGTACCTGGGTGGCTCAGTCAGTTAAGTGTCTGACTTCGGTTCAGGTCATGATCTCACGGTTCGTGGGTTCGAGCCCCGTGTCGGACTCTGTGCTGACTGCCAGCTCAGAGCCTGGAGCCCATTTCGGATTCTGTGTCTCCCTCTCTCTCTAAGCCTCCTCTGTTCATGCTGTCTCTATATCAGAAATAAACATTTTGAAAAAAAATAAAATGTTCTCTCTCATTTTTTATCAGCCTAAGCAAATGGAATCACAGATCTCTCTGTCAGTCATTTCCATGCTTTCTGTGTTATCCTCTCCCCAGACCCTACTGTAACCTGATATCCAGTGTACCCAAAGAGTTCTGAACCTAATATATCTTTAGGGTTAGTTCCTATTATTTCTTTCCACCGGATAAGTTCATGTAGCTGGGCTTCTCTCTTGGTTATCTCAGGCATTCTCCAAATCCTCTGATGAAATTAAATTCCTTCTGTCTTCAGCAGGAACACTGACACTATTTAATTCTTACCAAACTCTGCCTTGAGGTTCTTCTGTGCCACCACAATGTGACCTCAGTGATGCTGCCCTGTCATTTTGAGCATCACACTTGCCTAAATTCTCTACTGGTCACACCTAGCCTACAACTTCACATCCCAGTCTGTAGTCCTCAGCCTGGATATTGATGCCAGCGAATATGGCAAACTGAGAGATTACTGCCTCATATTTTTTCCTCTGTCCTGGAAGAGAACATTTCCTACTTAATTGGGAGACACCTTGAAATGAAACTTAAATTTTACCAGCGACTGGAATCCATGTATGTTTGAGTATATATCTGGGAAATTGGTACATTGGGTATGATTGTGCCTACCCAAAATGCATGTGCATGAGAATGTGATGAGTATCTTGAGAGAATGCACATCTCAGGGAAGAAAGGACTACGTAGAGAATACAAATGAAGAGGTAAAGCCTTGGTCGTTGAAAAAAAAAGAGGAATTTTGAGTTTACCATAATATCAATTTCTATTTCTCATATGCTCCGCTAGCCCAGAACCCTATGAACTCCTGTGTGTAAGCAACATAGAAATGCTGTGTCTTTTACAGGGATAAAATGCAGAGAAGTGAAAGTCTTTTTGTGCTGTGATAATTATTAGGCTGAATTCTGGTTGCCATCTTGTACACTCAGAAGTGAAAAGACATTGGGGTGCCTGGGTGGCTCAGTCGGTTAAGCATCCAACTTCAGCTCAGGTCATGGTCTCATGGTTTGTGGGTTCGAGCCCCACATTGTGCTCCGTGCTGACGGCTCAGAGCCTGTTTCAGATTCTGTTTCTCCCTCTCTCTCTCTGCCCCTTCCCCACTCATTCTCTGTCTCTCAAAACTGAATAAATGCTAAAAAAAAATTTTTTTTAAAAGTGAAAAGACGTATCAGGACTAACATTAGTGGGAGAGTTGACTGGAAAAGATGACATTTGTCTTCACAACAATACAGTGCCCCAGAGTCCAAGAGATTGAAACTCTGGCTTCAAGTTCAGCATAGAACAAGAAAGGAAGCAAAGGTCAGAGTGGTATGAGATTAAGGAGGGTCCAGGCAGAAGCAATAGGC